AAAGAAACTTAGCAGCTGAGAATGAAGCCAGCAGGTCTGACTTTCTTGTTGGAAACAGGACTGGGGGGTGAGCCCCATGACTTTCTCTGCGAGAGGCAAGGTGGAAAGGAGGCGCCCTCTGAGAGTCTGAACCTTGGCAACCCACGGACCAGAGTCTACAGTAGCTCCTTTGCTCCCCACCAGACTGGGGACAGAGACAAGACAACTGAAGCAGGGCCTTGGAAGTGCCTTGGGGAAGGTGAACTTAGATCTCTTTGTATGTAATGTCCTAGTGGTTCCATTACAGTATGAACTTCTTGAGGCCAATATTTTATCTCTACCACATTTCCTTGCCCACAGGTCTCCTTCTTCAAAAAGAGTTGAAATAGGGCTTCCTGCCCCCCATGCCCCTCTATATTTTCCCTCCCTGACTGCCAATTATAGTCACTCTGAAAGTTTAGTAAGAAAAGTTAGAGAGCTTTGAATGGTGATAATTGTGGAAAGTGAAGGGTCCTTAAGAACTGTGTGGTGCATAACCTACATCAGATTGCTTGCCTTCTCACTTGAAGAGGGGAGGGAGAGAATTTGGAACTCAAAAATTTTTAAAAATAAATGTTAAAAATTATTTTTACATGTAATCAGGGAAAAAATAAAATATTAAATTACACAAAAAAAGAACTGTGTGGTGCAGTCAGGAGAACCCTGAATTTGGAGTCAGAAGACTTGAGTTTGCTACTTAATAACAGCAGCAGCAGCAACAGTAGTAGAAATAGTAATAACTAGCATATAGGGCATTAAACTGCAAAGTATTTCATGTTATCTAATTTGAACCTCACAATGACACTATGAGGTAGGTCCTTTTATTATTCCCATTTTACAGATGAGGAAACTGAGACAGACAGGGCAAGTGACTTGCTTAGGCTCAAACAGCTAGTCAATATCTGAAGCAAGATTTTAACTTAGGTCCTCCTGACTCCAAGCTCAGTGCTGTATCCACTGTATCACTCAGATGCCTTCTTGTTAGCTGTATGACCTCAGGCAGATCCTCATCTGTAAAATGAAAGGGTTGGATCAGATAATCTCCATCATCCACTCTAGCTCTAATTTTTTTTTTAATTTTTTAGGCAATTGGGGTTAAGTGACTTGCCCAAGGTCACACAGCTAGTGTCAAGTGTTTGGTCTGAGGTCACATTTGAACTCAGGTCCTCCTGACTTCAGGGCTAGTGCTTTATCCACTGCGCCACCTAGCTGCCCCTCTAGCTCTAATTTTTAAAAATGTATCAATCAAGTATTTATTAAATATCTACTGTGTGAAATTATACCATGAACTAGAGATACCAAGACAAAAGTCCCAATTCTAAATTCTACAACCTTAAGTGTGACTTCTTTAGCTGTTCTTACCAAACCTCCAGAGGCTCCTCTGTGGGAAAAGCTATGGTCTTGGCTGAATTCCTTTGGGTCCCCTCTGGTCAACAAGAGGAGCCTGATCTAATTTAGCAGAACAATTACCTCCAGCTTTAGGCCCAGTAAAAGATCTATTAAAGATAGGAAGATGGTGATGGGGGATAAGAGTCTTATTTCTTTGCATCCCCATTCTACCTCTCTTCCTTGTACCCATCTCTGGCACTCGCCGAGTGCTGGGCCTTTGGTAGACAGCAAGTCCTGGGCTTTGGACACCACCTTCTCTGAGGGGGTATGAGCACTGTTTTCTAAGTGAGCCAACGGTTTTGGCCTGTTCTTGTTTGCCCAGGGGCAGACCCTAAGCCCTCTCCACTTCGATGTCTGGAAAACTCATTGAGGGGGATCTTGGCCATGAGGCCCCTGCGCTTCACCTGTTTGGCCAGCCCCAGTCTTAGTTCCAGCTCTAGCCCCAGCTCCAGCCACAGCAGCAGCAGCAGCAGCAGCAGCAGCAGCAGCAGCAGCAGCGGCAGCGGTGGTTCAGAGGGAGAAGAGCAGAGGTTGGAGCCTGAGCTGTGGAGAGCTCGTCTCAAGGGTAAGTCTTGAGTGGGATGAGAGGAAGAATGAGGCAGAGAAGTTGGGGCATCCCTAGCTCTGACACTGGGTTTGGTTTCTGTTGACAGAGTGTTCCCTCTTCGCCATCCCTCGGGGGCCTGTCTCTCAGGCCAGCAGCCATCCCAGCCCCCTCACTAGCAGTACCAATAGCCCCACAACAAACAAAGACCAGAGGAGGACTGAGCCTGGGGACTGGAGAGCTCTCAATGCAGGTGATCTTTTGAATTTCTTACTAAGGAAGAAATGGAGGGGACATTGTTCTCTTTAAGAGAGGTAAAAAGAAGAAAAAATATGTACAGTGGAGGAGAGCCACGAACTCTCTTCCTAACTGTTGGGGACTTACTGACCTATTTCCAAGCAGACTCTATATTTTCTTGTCTCAGTTTTCCTCTGTAAAATGGGAATGGTCAGATTGGCTTAGATTCTAGGCCTAGAGGAGGAAAATTATTCTAATAGAGAGGTTAAATATCATGCCTAGGGTCACACGGCTTGCTCATTATTTAAGACAAGATGTGAACTAGGGGTCTTTTTGACTTCAAATTCAGATCTTTATCTGCTAGGCCACCTAGCCCCTCACACATCATTGTGATAATTGTGTAAATCATTCTGGTTTTGCTGAGTCTTGTTTTTCCATCCCAGCTCTGAAAGCAGAGGAGACTTTGGGCTGTAGCCCCAGGCTCCATGGGAAGGATGTACCTGCAGAGACCTCTGGTGGGTTGCACACCCCTGGCAGCACTGAAACAGGTGAGTATCAGTAGGATAGGGGCAGAGAGTAAGATTGGGGGAGAACACTGGGGCTCAGGGGGCAAGGAATAGGAAAAAGGATGGGTTCTAGTAGTGCTAGAAGCCCATGTATTCATGATAGAGTGCAAAAAGTTGGACATGGAGTCAGAAGACCTGCCTGGGCTTTACTTCCAGCTCTGCCATTTTCCAGCCTTGTGGCCCTGGGCATTTTACCTCGTTCAGCCTTACTTTGCTCATCTGTAGAATGGGGATATGATACTGATACATTAGAATTCTACCTTCCCTGATCAGTTGTCTGTAGTCAGGGCTACAGTGCAGTGACCATGGGCTGAGCAGGTAGAAAGGAAGATAAAATCTCTTCGAGCTCTATGTGGCCTCTGGGGTTGTCCAGCACTGCTTGTAGTCTTGTCTCCCATAGCTTGGCCTAGGAAGAGCTGATTTCCCTGGTGGAAGAGCCCCCGCCCCCATCAGAGACGTCACAAATAAGTTAGTCTTGTTGATAGTGGTTAAGTGGATAGAATGTTGTACTTAGAGTTAGGAATAACCTGGGTCCAAATCCCATATCAGAGACTTGCTAGCTGGACAAGTCATTTATCCTCAGCCTCAGTTTCCACATCTGTAAAATGAGGCTAATAATAGTACAGGTACCCTCAAATGAAAGAAACTTTCATTTAAAGTTTCATTTCATATAAAGCACTTTGCAATCCTTAAAGCACTATATAAATGAGATTTCTAGTTCAACTCCCATATTACAGCTAAGGAAACTGAGGCCCCTTAGACAGATACACACCCATTCTTGAATGGAGACATAGGTGGATTCATGAACAGACTATCCTCATCAATGGCAGGTTCAGGGCTTATGGAGGCTCAAAGTTGTGTCTTCTCATAGGGCCATCTGCTGATCCCTGTTCTGCCCCTGACCTGGAAGAAGCTCCTGATGTGCCAACTCCCTGCCCCTCTTCTGGAGGGCCTGAGGTAGATGAAGAAGCTGAAGGCCCGAAGGCTGTGCCTGGAGAACTGAGTGTCGCAAGTGAGCTAGTCAGTGTCCCTTCATTTCTCCTCAGGTGGAGCAGGCCACTAGGAGTTTTGGGGATGGCCCCAGGGGCAGGGGGAGGGCTCTGTGAGGACCCCAATATGACCTTGGTATAAGCATCCATTCTCTTCCACTACTGCCTAACTCCTCCCTCTGCTCTGCTGTCCCCAGCAGGGTTGGACAGGACACGGAGCCCTGAGTTGTGACTTCCATTCACAGCTTGGCTTATGCTATTGTAAGTTCTTGGTCTCATTCCTTGGCCCAACTCCTTGGCCAGGATCACTGTTTAAAAGGCCCAAAGTGTGGGAGCTTGGCTCTTCCTACAGTGGGAGAGTCCTGGATTTGGAGACAGAAATCTTGACTCTGACACTTACTTAGTCACGTGATCTGGAGTCAGTCATTTCCGTTCTTGGAGCCCTATTTTCCTCATTTGTCGAATAAATATGATACTGGTGCTACTGACCTCCCTTGCCTGTCATGAGGAAAACTCATTTTAAACTGTAAAGCACTAAGTAAGTGTTAGCTAGCATTACTGAGTCTCCACTGGAGTCCTCTGATGCCTTGGGGGTAGGGGTGAGGCTGTATAGATGCTGACCCTGGATTTTCAAAGGCTCTGCCAATGGAGGTTGAGATCTGGCTGGTCGTACTAAGTGGGAAAGGCTGACATGCAGGCTTAGTGATGAACTGGGTGTCTCTTACACAAGGACTAGCCTAGCCAATTTTGGAGAGCCTCAGAGGCAGTTTGGCAGCCCTCAACGGCCATCTATTCAATTATCAAGGAGCTGGAGCTGTGATGCAGTAACGGCATCTGCACAGTCTTGAAGTTCCATTAATCAGAGGCATTAAGGAATACCAGGAAAGACAGAGCTATATATGTAGACCTACTAAGCTATCCTTTGACATGAATACAGATGTGTTCAACTATACTCAGACACAAAAATACACACAATTCCCTCCATGTCCAGAGGAACAGAGCTGGAATCTAGTGACTAGATAAGAGGATATGTCTGCTGTCAGGTCTCAGATGCTTTCCTGGGTACTTGGGGCTGGCCCCTGGGACTAGCTAGCTGACTTTTTTGTCACTTCTTCCTCAAACAGAAACCACCTGGAGAGGCTCCCCACTCCTTGGTCAAGACTGATGCTCAAGAGACCCAGTCGCAGTATCTCAGCTTTCAATGTTCTTTCTGTACAGGTCCCAAGGATGCTAAGCCAGACATACCAGAGACAGAGGCCAGGGACTTGACAGGACTTGGTGAGTAAGTGAAGGGCCCCCGTCACAGGAGAGAATGCCATTGGCAGAGAGAGCTGGACCACAATGGGCAAGAGTTCCTAGCTCACTCAGTCTTGGTTGCCCTCTTGTGAGCTCTCTCCTCGGTTTGAGTATGACAATAAATAGCTCTATAGACATTGAGGGGATGGGACTATTTCAGAGATTCTTAACCTTTTTTGTGTCCTGAACCCCTTTGGCAGTCTATCGAAGCCTATGAATTCCTTCTCAGAATAATGTTCTTAAATGCATAAAACAAAATATATAGGATTACAAAGAAAACCAAATATATTGAATAAAGATGTAATTTTGTTACTCATCCAAGCTCATAAACCCCCTGAAATCTGTCTAGGGTTGGTGGACCCCACATTAAGAAGCTCTGGACTAAATGATCCAAGGCAGAGTTGTCAAATATATGACCCATGGACTGCCTGCAACATTTTCAAGTGTGGAGGGACCAGATTAAAATGCAATTGGGAAATACTTACCAAAAAAAAGTAAAAATACAATAGAACATAGCTAATATTAATATGTGGTTTTCTAAATCAAAATGCAGCCCATAAGGATCCTTATGTACTGCTGAGAGGCCCCTTTCTATTTGATTTTGATACCTCTGATCTATTAGTTTGTGAATTCTAAATGGGTAAGGGCAGAAGGTGGAGGAGCGCTAGGGGCCAAACATGGTTTGCTTATGGCTAGCAGTACTGGGTGCTGAAGCTATCCTCCAGTCCAGCCCACCAGAAACACCTGAAAACATCCAGAGCTGGGTTGGCACTTCTGCCCTGACCTCCCAGGACGCTCCATCATCACCAAGGCCAGATAGAGGAAACAAGCGCCTGTGTTCTCTGGGCAAGCCTGCTGCCAACTGTTCTGCAGGTAGGAAGAAATGACCCTTCCCTTATTGTTGTGGTGATTTTTTAATGTGATAGACTAAGACTCCAAAAATTGGAGGGAGGGGCCAGAAGGAGCACTAGCTTTGAATTGGAAGAAGAGTTTGAGTGGAACTTAGATCAGGTCAAGGAGAAGATGCTCAGGGTCTTCTCCCAAAGCCCAGGGGGCTGGATAGGCCAAGATACCAGTTAGGTGCCATCCTGGTTAGGACAGGAAATCTATGTCAGTCTCTATGGTTACATTAGGCTTAGATGAACCCTGTACTCCATAACTTCACCATTATGTACTCTAAGCTTTATTTTAGCTTATTTCCCTTTCCCTGTTATTAAAGTTCTCTGATATCTTCTTGTGAGCTGGGAGTTACTCTAGGTTCCTGAAGGATGTGCCAAACTCTGGTAGGTCCTAGTTAACTGGAAAAGCTTCTAGGACAGTACTGATGATGGACCATACGTCTAGGGACCAACCTAATTCAAGTCAGAACGAGATCAGAAAGTTGGCCATGAGTGGTGACAGCTACCAAAGACCATTTATTAAGAGACAGAGGGAAAATCAAGGGGCCTTCAAGTCTTGAAGTATTCCATTTGCTCTCAACCCCTTTCTCCTCATCCCCATCCCTGCCTTAAAAAGAAACAAAAACCAAAACAACAACAGATTTGTGATACCTTTGGTATAGGGAGCTCCTAGTGAGGGCATTCCCCTAGCAGTATAAGTCTTCATCTGTTCTGCAATTTATAGTCTTAGAAAAGTGCTTCAGGCACTGAGAAGTGAAGTGACTAGCCCAGAGCCACACAGGTAATATGTATTGGAGTCAGGATTTGAACCCAGATCTTCCTGACTCTGAGGCTTGCTCTCTATTCATTATGCCCCACTTGCCTTATTCTTAGGTTCTAACCGGCAAAGTTCTTTAGATAAATCCAGGCTTGGTCTTGACTAGATTGAGGGAAAGAAAGCAGGTTGTCCATTTTTAGCCTTTTGAGTATGCCTGAGGCCAGGGGGCTTTGGGGTACTGACCAGGAAAGTTTGAGTAAGGAGGAGCGTTGCAGATCCAGGGTGGGGCTGGATCTCAGGTATGGCTTTGGGAACTGGTCCCCTTCCTACTGAGTCCATTTCTCTGTACCAGTCACAAAAACCTTATGGAGCCATCCACACTCAAGGGTCTCCAAAGACCAGTTTAGTGAGTGTGACACAAAATGCTCATCACTGTCTCTCCCAAAGGAAGGAGTGCCCATCTACACAGCAGGAGGAGCTCATCATGGTAACTGAATTGGTGATTTATCCTATTCATGGATTGGATTAATGGAAGCAAAGAGATCATGTTGGGAAGGGTCCCAGTGATTCCTCCACCCGGAGCAGGGCTGTATTCCTAAGAATCCTCATTTCCTTCTAGAAAGCCAGGATTAGAGGAGCGAGAGGAGTATAGGTGATGCCTCAGGGGACAGGGAGGAGGTTGTCCAGACATTTAGATCTGAACTTGATCTCTTTTCTGATTTCAGCTCAGATGGGCAGGAGAATCTCAAACCATCAGATTTATGGCTCAAGTGAGATCCCTAGTAAGACCCCACGACTGGCTTTGCCCCCTGTGACTAATGGCCCTTCCACCTTGGCAGTTAATTCCCCACAGTCTTCCTGCTACTGTGGGGATGCCCTCCGGGGGGAGCTCCACAACCTTGGTGCTGCCCTCACAGAGCAGCTGACCCGCCTCTCTTCTGCCCTGGTCACTCTGTCCCAGGATGTGTCAGCCATGAAGAACAGCATGAAGTTGCTGGGGCGAAACTTCCGGTCACACCAAAGGCTAGGAAGGGGATCACGACCCTGGACTATCTGCCGGAAATACCAAAGGTGCTGTCATTCTGTTCGAGGACATCGATTGGGACAAAAAAAGCCCACTCAGCAACAACCCCTACAATTTGGGGGGCCGCCAAAAGGTCTAGGGGTTGGTGATACCTCAGACTTCTTACAGCGGGAGCCCCATATGGTGCCACAGCTGCCTCCAGATGCTCCCCCAGGTATAACACCTATGGCACTGACTGCCCCCTTTGGCCCCAGTAGTGGCTCTTCCCCCTCCTCTCTCCTCTTGTCTCCTACTTGCTCTTCATTGCCCACTGTGCACTCACCTCAAAGACAACTAGAGGACTACCAAAGCCCACCATCCACTCCAGTTGCTGTATCATCTTCCCAAATTGCCCCTCCTCCAAGCCCAGAGGAAGGGTTCAAATCCTGGCAGGAGCTGGAGCAGTGCAAGTGGAAATCTGCTACGGACACAGGGATGAAGGGAGCCTGGTCCCAGCAATCCAGAGAGCCCTCTAGTAGGAGGCCTGGGGAAGTGAGCACAAAAGCCCAACATGGAGGACCTGGCTAGCTAACAGGAAAGCCCATTAGCTAAATTCCTTTGGGAGGCAGATGCCCTTCTTCAGGGGTCCCCTCTGGGGGGGGCAGTGCTTCAGATGAGTCCTCCCCCCCACTTGGCTGCACATAGATGGTGGGGTTTCTGCCTGTTATTCTTATTAGTCCTAGTCTTTTCCAGGCATTTCGGGAACATTTTCTTCAGAGAAGAAGCAACTATTTGGGGATGTTTTCTTTCCCTTTTCCTTAGCTTAAGCTTCAATGAAACCTTGATTACATGTTTCTCCCCACCATTATCCCTTTGTCCAAGAACTGCCAAAGTAAACGTAAGATAGAGTCTGTGTATTTATGTCACCCAAGTGGCTACATAACACCCTTGTTTCCATTCTCCCTTTCTCTCCCTGCTACCTCAACTTTCATAGGGTGAATTGAGTAACTCTCGTCCTTCTCTGGTGAGTCAAAGGATGAGTTATATGCCTTGTACAGACAACTCTTATGCCAGGAGACTCTGTCTACCTTTTATTATAACTTGTAGGCTAAAAAACCAACCAAACAAACAAACAAACAAAAAATGTTTGGAGGCTTTGCCTTTGGCTTCAGAGGATAGAGATAGATTCAGACATTAAAGTGTTTAGCTGCCAAGAGTAAATGTAGGAAGCTGGATTAGGCCTCCTAGGGCTGGGCCAGCCCAGTCTTCCTGAAAAATGGGGCAGGGGAGGCCTATGATTTGGCAGACCACCTCCTCAGATCACAGTAGGTAAGGCAGTTCTTCTGGTGGTCTAGTGATGGGCACAGCTTGAGTTCCCTTATGGAGGAAGTAGCTGACTGAAGGAGTTAGGGGCGGGCAGAGTAGCTGATTAGGGGAAGGTAGATGTGAAGCCAGCATGGAAAGAGAATGTCATAGCCAGTGTTATGGGTACAAATATAAGATGGAAGAGGGACAGGATTTCATTACCTTTTCTGACAGAAACCTGGGGGTTTTAGTGTCCTGCTAACCCATAAAGTCAATAGTATGATAGGAGGACCCAAAATGTTAATATGATCTTGGGCTACAGTAAGAAAAATGTAGCTTCCAGGAAAAAGGAGGTGACAGTCCAACTCCTCTGTGCTCTACTCTTGGTCAGATAATATCTGGATTATTGTTTTCACTTTGGGAAGGGCATTGTTAAGCTAAAGAACAGGGCAAACAGAATGATGGAGGGCCTTGAGTCATTGTCCTATCAAGATCTGTTGAAGGAACTGGGAATGTTTGGTCTGGAGAAGGAAAGGGTTGTGGGGAGAGACATGAGAGATGTCTTTAAGTACATGAAAGGTGGTCATGTGAAGAAGGATTAGTCGTGTTCTGCTCCAAAGGCAAAACTAGGAGCAGTGGGTAGAAGTTGCGGAGAAGCAAATATAGGCTCAATGTCAGGAAAAACTACGTTAGTGGGCAATCCAAAAGTGGAACAGGCTGCCTTGAGATGTGCTGGGTCCCCCCAAGTAGCTATCTTCAGGCAGAAGCTGGATGGCCCCTTGTTGGAGGTGTTGCACTCTTTTTGGGGGAATAGGTTAGACGAGGTGGCTGACCTCCCTTCCAACTCATACAATATGATTCTAGACAGAGACAAGTGGGGATGTAGGGATGAAAGAGCAAGGAATGTTCTGGGTTGGAGGTGGGATGTGACAGAAGGGGTATGAAGCTGGAAACGGCTTGTGGCCTTCGTTTGTGTGTGGAACTACTCTCCCCAACTCCTCCAGGGTGGCTAATTGCTAAGACAACAGATATGGTATGTATTAACTGCAGAAGGTTTGCTATAATGACTGTAGACTATATTAGAGCATGAAATCTGGGTCCGAAGTGAACATGTAGAGAATGGTGTGGCAGAAGCTGTGCATCCAGATGGCATGAGTGGTGGAGTCCATAAAGACACTTTATTCCTGTCAGTCTTTGACACTCCAGCCTGTGGGAATTAGGAGATATTTGGGGACACAACTTTCACTGCAGAGAGGGGCCCTCTTGGATTCTTTATGGGAGAAATGTGGGGCGGACATTGATATGCTGCCTATGTTATGGTTGCCTTGGCCTCGTCCTTGGGTTTTGTATCTATAGTGGGTATTCCTACAACAGCCCCTTGTACTTCAAATCTTCCCCCAGGCTTGGTCCTATATGTAGGCAAAATAGTCCCCTTACCTAAAAATATCTCCCTGTGAGCTAATCCCAGCCTTAAATTCTCAAAATATCCCACCCCATTACCACCCCAACAAACGTTTCAGGTTGACGTTGTCTCCGAAAGCCTTTTGTTAAAATTCACCTATCGGTGGAGAAGCCTGTTGTACCAGGACCTTTTGACCCATCAATAATAATAGATATCATTTAAATAGCACTGTAAGATTTACAAAGTACTTTACAAGTATCTAATTTTTAACTTCACAACAACCCTGGGAGGTAGGTGCTATTTATCCCCATTTTACAGATAAGGAAATTGAAGCTAACAGGTTACCAGGGTCACACAACTAGTAACTGAGGCCAGATTTGAATTTAAGGTCTTCTTGAATTCAAGTCCAGTGCTCTATCCACTACACCATCTAGCTTCTTCTAACTTGGATTATAACCTTGATATATGATTGAAAATTTTCTTCACTAAAACTCCATGAGGTCCAGATTAAGTGACTTGCCCTGCTTAAGTCACATGTTACTAGGTCTTAGAATTCTGACCCCGAACCCATGGCATTGTCCAACCTTAGCTGTTACCTAACAGAGATCAGGCCCCAGAAATAAGAAATAGAGTGTGTAATGAGGATGTTTGGATGGAAGGGTCAAGGAATAGGGTAGAACCAGAGTGAAGACCACTCCCTGAAGAGCAGGTATGGCAGGGAGCCACAATGAGAGATCCTAGAAGGTTAGATTGGGTGCAGCATCAAATCACTTGAGGGGAAAGAGGAAAGGTTAGGCCTGGGGGGATAGGGGAGAGAGAATTTCACCTACAGTGAAATTTTGCTAAGGACAAACCCAGCTAGTCAGTCAATACATAGAGCCTCTCTGCACTCGCAGGGGCTATGCCTTTTTAAGTGTGTGGTGTGACTATAAAATAATGAGCCAAGGATCCTCTATGGCTCCCAAACGAGCTCTGAGGACAGCTAAAAAAAAAAAAAAATGGAATCCCAGATGCTCTTCTGAGCAGAGGCCAAACTATGAGAGTCAGCGTGGCTTCCAAGGAGAAAAGTTTGAAGAAAAACACTCACCTGGATGCTTATGTCCTAATGTGTTTGTTTTCTAGAAAAATGAGTCTCATTATTTTATGGTCATGTTTTATACAGAATAGGGAACACAGACCTGCCGGTATAAAATGTCCAGAGAGGTTGGGACATCTGTTTTTTAAGATCTGCCCTGTAATATTGGGTAAATCACTTAACACTCTGAGCTTCAATTTTCTCCCTGGCAAAATAAGGGATCTGCATTAGGTCATCTCTAAAACCCTTTCCAGCTACACATCTAGGATTCTATGATGCTCTATGATCTGTGAGCTTGAGGGAGGAGAGTTCCCCATGGCAGCTGCAGAAGGGAAGGGAGGTGGAGAAAGAACAGGAGGTACCCTGGATTACTGAGGGTCGATCCATAAAGACAAGTGTGGAGGTGGAGCAGAATGGGACGGCATTTTCTCTTGCTCCAGTTTCTTTGAGTGTCATCTTCTAGTTCCTTGCATATAATAGGTGCTTAATATATGTTGAATTGGAAATTCTAAAAGATATAGCTAATCATACCTAGGAGCCAGCAATAGGCCCTCCCATCTTTGCTTCCCGAAAACCTGAGTTCCATTGTCCTCCCCTAAATTTCCATACGCTACCCTGAGTCAGGAACCCCTGATTGATTCTGCTCTGAAGCTCTGGGAGTCAGAAGACCTGGATTCTAGTCTTAGCTTTGTTTCTCACTTGCTATATGACCTTACACAAGTGATTTCACATTTCTGACTATCTACGTTTTCCTTATCACTACAGGCTATGATGTTCTAAGTGTAGAATCCTAGGGCAACCCACATTGTCCTCCAGCTTAGTAGCTGCTCAGTGATGTCAAAGCAAACTCAGACAACTCAAGATAGGTCAATAAATAGATGCCTCTTCAAGGAGGTTATAAGATTATAGGGGGGAACAAAGCTAGACCTTCCATATTTATGAGACATATCAAGTTTTGATGGAGGGAGTAGGATCTACACAGGATGTTGTCAGGGATGACAGGTCAGTAACCATGCTGTGATGGGGGACTTTGGATACCCAAGGGAGAAATTGGATTCCAGTTGGGGACAGATGGAAGATAAGAAGAAACCCCCTACCACACAATTTTGCCTATGTCTGAGCTAGCTCTGTTTTATGTTGGGAGCAAAAGTATTCCTCTAAAAATTCAATTTCTTTTTCTGTAGAATGAGGCAGGGTTTCCTTTCAACTTTGCCACAAACTAGCTGTTCAGTCATGGACATGTCAGCTCATTCCTTAGGGTCTCAGTTCCCTCATATGTAAAGTGAGAGGTTTAGATTTGATGATTGCTGCCTTACTTTAGGCATTAAATTATGAAACCTAAGTCTCACCTTTCCTGTGAAGTCATCTCTGTCTATCCAAAGTCTATTCATTATTGCAAAGCTCCTTAAAGTTCCAACATTATAGCATTTCTCAACAATCAACTATGTAGTCTGATAACATTAATCCATACTTGTGGAATGATAGGAGAGGGCTGAGGAGAAAAGCTTATGAACTAAGCAGCGCCTTCTCAGGAAAGCAGTGTACTTCATAACAGCGACCTCTAGAGCAGTAGCTACAAGGCTTATTCCTCTTTTTCTTTTCTTTTTTTTTTTTTAAGAGAGGCAAGATGGTGTAGTGGATAGGGCACTAGTCTTAGAGTCAAAAGGACCTAGTTGTGTGACCCTAGACAAGTCCTATAACAAATTGGTAAGTCAAAAACATCTTACTATGTGCTGAGAATTGAGGATAGGGCAGCTAGGTGGTGCAGTGGATAGAACACTGGGCTTGGAATCAGGAAGACTCATTTTTCTGAGTTCATAATATGGCTTCAGACACTTACTGGCTGTGTGACCCTGGCAAGTCACCTAACCCTGTTTCCCTCAGTTCATCTGTAAAATGAGCTGGAGAAGGAAATGGCAAACCACTCCAGTATCTTTGCCAAGGAAACCTCAAATGGGGTTACAAAGATTCAGATATGACTGAAAAATGACTCAACAACAAGAACTGGGGATACAAAGAAAGGCAAAAGTAAACCCTAAAACCCCAGTCCCTCCCCTCACGAAGTCTGCATTTCGATGGGAGAGACAACATGCAAAAAAATTTACACAGAAGAAATATGT